ATATATGTATATATATATGTATATATATATATACACAGGGTGTCTGGAAATAATCGTCAAATATTTCATGGACAGGTAGAGCGGACTAAATTAAGTCGAAAAATCCTGTATCATTTGTAAGTTTCTCCAATTAACGAGATATTAATCCTTAAAAATAACTGAATACTACTGCGAAGTGTATACGCCTACCGATCGTTTGGTGCGCGAATCATAAGGAGCGGGGATAGCCTGGCAAGCGCGCAGTCCGAGCTATGGAGCTTGCAGCAATATGCACGCGGGGCGCTTGCCAGCAAATCCTCAACTCCCAAGGCATATATACTTCGCAGTAGGCCGGGCGAGCGCGCGTATTCGGCTATTTTTAAGGATTAATATCTCATTAACTATTGGAGAAATTTACAAAATGGTAGAGGACTTTTCAGTTTAATACCGCTCTACCTACCTATGAAATATTTGGCGATTATTTCCAGGCATCCTGTATATATATATTATAAAACTGAAGAAACAACTTTTTATATAATAAGCAAATCGAATTTCATTTAATAATTTTAATTGAAGTATTAAACTTACTAAGATTCAAAATGAATTTGATGCTTGTGAATGTGATGTGGTGAACTTACGAGTTGCGAGCATATGAATTTTTTAAATACTTAGTAAATATTTTAGTAATAATTATTTTTTAGTAATAATTATTATTTGCGTATTGTAATTTTCTGTGATGAAAGGAATACATTCATAACATCTGATCAGAATTTCAAGATAACATTAATTTCTTTTTACGAAAAATGTCTTATAAAAATATTTTATATTAAAGGTCAATTATTTGGGAAATCTAACTTTCAATATACATTTTCATCATTTAAAAATCTATAAGAAACACCTTATATGATATTTTTTCTGTTATAATTCAATGTAATTATGTAACACGTTCAAATACAGTGATAAACAATAGCTTTAAAAAGTTTTAATATTTTGACAATCAGTTTGAGCGTCCTTCATAATTATTCTGTTTGTCTAACAAAATTATTTTCAAATTTATATCTATGTAGCTAAAGTTTTAAATACTTCAGCTAAACCATTCTTTTTATGTACTATTTCAAGCTTAAAATAATACGTTATTTTTGTATATTTTTGTCTGTGTTTTCATGCGATTATTGAAAAATGTTTTTATTTTAAATTGCAGATTTCAAGTATATTTGTACTTGATGCTACAACTTATGCAAGAAATGCTATTGCTACTTTAGGCAAAATGGATAATAATACTGGTTATTGGGCCCATAGTATTCAAAAGTTCATCATTCTAATGATACCAATATGGATTAGAATGAAAATCGGACAAATTATGAATGAAAGTTTCAGACAAAACTATTTCAAGCAACAAAGACAAAAGACATTGTAATAAGATATTTTAAATAAACAATTATTTTTTGAAGATATTATATCGTACTGACGTAGAAACTAATTTTTAGTAATTTTTAATTATCATAAGTAATATAATATAATACGAAAAGAAGATATTGCGGGAGAAAAAAAGAGAGAAAGTATGAATGCAAGAACGCGCGTGTGAATGCAAGAAAACAAGAAAAAAAGAAAAATATAAATATAAACTTTTTTTTGTTATATTTAAATTTTTATTTAACAAAACTTCACTTTTCATGTTTTCCACAACTAATTTTCTCTAGATTAAGACTCTTTCTATCTTACTTTCCCTAAATATTCTTATTCTAATAATGCAATTATGTAAGCTGAAGTTGCAATACGCATGCAATTGATTAATTTAAATAAATTAGTTTGTATTTTTTTTTTTAATTAAAAATATCTCTGTGATTCTCGAATTTAACAATAATAAAGGCATGTGAGAGTATAATAGAGTATATATTCAGTATATTTTCCTTACTAATAAGTAAATTTTGAATTTTGAATTTTTGGGTCTTCTTCAGTAAGAAACATTCATACAATCCAATATGTGAAGACATCTTATCCTAGAAGGTGGAAGCCATTCCCGAGTTGACAGATCCAAAGTGAAAATCCATCATTATTGTTGAAATTCTGTAATTATCCTATTTCATGATAAGAACGGGAGGGTGCCAGATGTACACAAAAAAAGTCGAATACAGCAGATTGTTCAAATTGGACATAGTGCCAATCGGACAAAGACAGAAGGGAACATCTGACAACTTCCATCGAACACAATTTCAAATATTTCAATCGGACAAAAGTTAAAACGGACACACGACGGTCTTAATTGAACACAGTTCCAATTGAATACAAGTTAAAACGGACAGTAATTATACAGTTTAGCAGTGACCACCTCAAAAGTCAATAAAACTCAAAAAAACGCTTATTCGCGTTTTGACATTCACCTCCAACCCTCTCCCCTTCACTCCATAAAGGAGCATATGATTTCCATAATTGTACTGTTAATATTAAGGCTATTAACTCGCGGCGGCCATGTTGTAATTGAGATGTCAAAAGCGAGGAACGACACATGTTGTGTGCCATTTTTAAATAAAGACAATTTGGATGAAACGAAATGATGAAATCGCTTTAAAATACTTGTAAAAATCGAAAACTATCCTTTCCTTCCTTGACAATCAGTAAATGGTCGTAAAAAGCATAAAAAGTAAGTCTATATTTTGGCAGAAACACACAGTCCGAGCTGTTAAAACGAGTAAAATATACATTTTTACAGATTAATGTCAAAATAGTTTACTTACCTTCTACTCCTCTTCCTTCTCTTCCTCCTCTTCCTTTTCCTCATTTTACTCCTTCATCTCCTCCACCGCCTCTTTAAGGATATAAAACAAATATTCTTCGCTTTGTAAGTGGAGGAAGTTTATCATGTATTCGATGCACTCTCCGATACTCACATTGTTAAAATTGAAGAGAAAAGTCGTTGATGATCTCTTCCTCGTCACCATCATCCTTCTCCTCTCCTCCTCTTCCTCCTTCTTTACTTCTTCATCGACAATGTCCTCATCGAAGAGAACACCTTCACCATTTCTCTTTGGCGAGGAGGACATTGTCTTCGATGTTGACATCCTCTTCCTCTCCTCCTTTATTCTTTAGCCGTTTGGCTGGAGGTTCATCGGAATTCTTTATTCTATAATCACATAACTCACTCAACAGCAAAAATATTTCGTCCCTATTGGCAGAATACTTTTACAGGTTGAAGTCACTCACATCGAATGCAGTGCTTCGCACAACGCAAATCGATAAAGACTATCGCTGACAAGCATTCTTCGCTGTAGCGAGACTGTCTGGGGAGACTTACTTTGTTTTATATACATTTATCTATGGTAGTCGATGTATATAAAACAAAGTAAAAAGTGCCGCCGCGAGAAGAATCGACATAATAAGTTTATAGAAAGTTGCCTTTTTTGTGGATAGAGCATCCGAGTAGGTGGGTTCTAACCCACGAGGCTAGAAGGGATCATAGGCGCGGAGGGGAAGGCGCGGGGGGTACTGGTAGGCACGGGAAGGCAGCGCTGTTACTATTTACATAAACATAGGACCCCCGGTCGATGGATTACATAAACATGATGACATTTCGTTATGCGTTCCGTATTTTTTTCGTCACTCGCCGCTGTCACGGACCCCGCGGTCACTCCAAAATGCGTTTCGGGCCGCCGTCGCAGACCCCGCGTCCAAAATGTGCCGCAGTACTATAACGCGAACAAGATGTTTTGTCTAGGTGACTGATGTGTTCTCACAGTTCTTTTTTTCAAGGTTAGAAGCATCGATAAAGATATTTATCTAGGAAGAACTGAAATTGGTGACACGTCACGATGTGTTAAGAGAGAAGCCGTCTATAACGATATTTTTTTTTTAAGAAGAGATCGATGACACATCACTACTGCGACCCCAATAAGAGATCGGTGACACGTCATCATTACTGCGATTCAATAGGGATGATAGATAATGAGACAAAGAAGTCACAAATGGAATATATAATGGGTCATAAGCGCGCGGCACCTCAGTTGGTGCCTTTAAAGATTACCGAATCGCAATAAGTATAATGAAAAGTATGGTTGACTATCATGCAGATGTTGAGGGCATGGATGGTGTGAATCAGAGACAAGTTTTTTGAAGCAATGGAAATAGAATTTGGGGACATAATGGATGATGTAGAAGTCGAGAATATCAGAAACGTTGAGAACATAACTAATGTAGCCGAGTATATTAGAAACGTAGATCCGGAACAGTTCGCGAATATCAGAGACGAAGTGCTTGATGAAATGGAAGTAGACTTTGAGAATATAATGGACCAAGAGTCATCTGACGAAGAAATGCTATCCGACGATAGTGGATGTGCTAGTGATATGAGCAAGTATGAAATCGATCGCGTAGAAAAATTTGTGTAGCTTTCGGAAATCCGTGTGTTGAACGCTCGTACTAAGCACTGTGTGATCTACAATTATTATACAACGGGTGATGCTTTAACTGTATGCACAGCATGCATGATTCGTATAGGTGATATTAACGATGTAGGAATGTATCACGTCAGGGAGATGGTTCTTTCGGTAAGCTAGACGGCAAGTGCACGAATTGCAGAGAACCTTTGTACAGTATATTCTTGTGCCCACTCTGCACACATTGAAAAAAACCTATTGTGAATAGTACTGGAAAATATGTGGGAAGACTATAATGTAAATGATATGCTGTATGTTCTCGGTAATCCGCAAAAAAGAGACACAGATGTGCGAATATCGTCGGTGCAATTCCTACGCGAGAATTAAGTATACATGAGAAACATGGAATAATTATTAAAGAATCCGTTTCTTTACTTGCGCGACAGAAAGTGTACTCACGGTTACGAGACATTAGTGGAATAGAAATGTCAGTGTAATAAAGGACGATTATTATTGGGCGAAGAAAATCGCAGATAAGAGCCAAGGTTGGTGCATGTGCATTAAGATTCCCGCGGGTAATGAAAAGTGTGTCGAACTGTTAATTATTGAAAATATATGGATGGAGTTTCGTGATCGCGATCTTGCACTAAAACTGTTTTTTCAATAGATACGACGAACAATGCTTTGCTGCGAACAGTGCACTATCGCAAACAAATGAAAAGGTGTTAGAACGTTATGATATTCTAAATATGTCACGATGTTGCAACGTGAACGAGTCACGTGCAAGTGCTCCGTGAAAGAGTGCGATCTAAAAAACTGTGAAAAGACATGGAAAATTATGAGCGAGTGGAACGCGAACTGTTGGAGCAGTGCGGCCAAGTCGTTACTCTGTTTCGCGTGGCTGCAATGATGCGACGAGTGCATCGACCAGCTCGAAGAACTTTGTCGTGCCAAGCGTCCGCGCCTCGCCGTTAGACACAGACAATCCGCGGTGGCGAGGATAGCGCGATTCCCGGGTGCAAAGTCGCAATTGGAGCGACGTTTCGTGCACATTGATGGCGAGTATGCGAGTGGCGAATACGTCAGTAGCAACGAACGATCTCTTGTCTGGCGAGAAATCGACGCCATGTTCGTGAATATATTCATGGTGCGATGATAATTCTAATCACATCGAGCCTCGGTTTTTAGAAGACGCTAACAGTGTAGTTCTAGAGCGAGTGCGAGACGCTGTAGAAAGACACGGTAGTAAAAGTAAACACCGCATTCAACGGTGAGTTCGCGACGAAGGACAAACGTACCAGTAAGAGTAATTACAAAGAACAGCGAGATATACTGATACACCGATTTACGCGAGCGGCACGTCATCGAGCCTATCCTAGCATCGAAGAATTCCAGGAACGCGACAGCGGGTGGGCATTGTTACGTATATTGAATTTGACTATCAATGTGAACAAACTAAATCCCCTGCGCGCGGGATGTCACATCAAAGTGCCAGAGAATAGCGACGAAACGAGTGGTAATCAGTGTTCGTACGGACAATGCATGTTTCGCGTGGTCGGTGGTCGCCGCTCTGTCACTATTCAGCTGAAAGTATATGGAGCAGGAATCGTCCTATCCGCATTACATGACAGTGTTGAATCTCACGAATATCGAATTTCTAATAATGTTCAAAGACATTTCTAAATTCGAACGGTTGCATATGGTGTCGATCAACGTGTACAGCATCGAGAATAAATAAGTTCTTCCTCTGCAGCTCACCAATGACAAGAAGGAGAAGCACGTCAATCTCCTGTATCTACAAGATTCACACAATGCAACCTTGGCCACTTTGCGTGTATCAAGAATCTGTCGCGTCTTATGAGTTCGCAAATTACTAGGAAAAAGAACAAGAAGTTTTTCTGCGACCGGTAAGTATAATAAGAAAAGCCAACAAAAAAAACAGTAAAAAAGAAATAGTGAAAAATAATTTCTCTATTATTTATCTTCTCTATTATCAGGTGCCTCCATTACTTCAGTTCGTGCGAAAAATTACAATTGCACGAAGTGG